AATAATATATAAAATAATATATATATATTTTTTTTTAGACTGGGTGTTGACTTTCTAAAAAAATTCTCACTATTATTATTATTAAACTTCAGAGTTGTGCTAGTTTGGTCCCATGGAGTGGGGGACCACTTATTGCCGAAGTATTTAAGGTCATTAATAAAATTATTACGAAAGCTTAAGCAATGGTCTTTTTAGTACTCAGGTAATAGCCAGATTTGTGGTTCAATTTTCCTGACCAGTCAAGACCAGTAACTTAAGACTAAGGTGAATGAAATACAAAACAACTGGTACTCATCCTAGACAGTCCTATCTACAGTGATACAGCATACTTTCTTCCTATGGTGAACGGATGCGAGTAGCAGGTTTAGCAATGATTTTAGACACCCCCTTCCCCTTTTTTTTTTTTAAAGGCTGGGAGAAAAAGTATGAAATGAACATGCTTGTTGTGATTCATTTTTGCAGAAACTGACACAACTGATTTGAGACATTAACAGCATAGTTAAGAAAAAAAGAAGGTAAGCCCAGGGACAGCCTCTGACACAGGACCTCCATGACTTCCTAGTGTTGCCATGGTGGCAGTCTCTTCTTCCTTTCCACCACTTGTCCATCCCTTCTCTCTCCCTGCCACCCCAAACATACAGATTACTCCTTATATATTCAAGTCTTCTTTACCATGTCCTAACCATGGACTTCATGGAATGATAGACAAGTATCACAAAGCTTTTAGCACAATCAGAGAAATCACATTAGATGAGGGATGGAAACATAAAAGAACCTAAACTTTTCCAGAATTCATTTTTCCAATTTAAAATGAGAGTTAAGCTGAGGAATAACAATTCTGTAGCAAAAACCAAAGTTAGAGTGCCCTACAAAGTCAGCATTTGATAATTTTCAACTACAGACACTACAGTACATCGCATCAGCACATTCCCCTCCCCAGTCCCTATTAGCACTGGCTATCTAGTTGACCCCAATACACCACTAAGGCAGCTATTCAGTACAGTTTATGTCACGGCTCAACAACTGATCCCGACCTCATATGCAGCAACTACCCCACCCATTACAGTAATTCTGATCATAAATTGTACAAAAGAGACCTTGGTCACATTCCACACATGACCGTGTCTGGACAGTAAATGAATACAGAATTCTATCAGAAATAGTAAACTATTCCCTGATAAATAAGTGCTTTTCTAGGCCTCACTATTTTTCAGTTAAAATCCCAAAGCACATCTTGTTCTGTCTAGTGTTCTGACAAATATCTTTACAGTACTTCTATCACACTGTAAGGTTATTGTCCCAATGAATTTATTAACAATTTCGACATAAAGATCTTCAGTAAATATAAAAAAGCAATAGTTCATCTGAACTCCACAAAGATCTGCTTCAGAAATTAAAGATCATCTACAACGAGTTCCAAAAAATTACACATACAAATATGCCTACATATAAGAACATACATACTTAGTCAGATATGTATGTAGCTAAGTGCACACACTTGAGTGCACATCTGCAAAATGGCAAAATCATAATTGCTGTGATGATGTTTGACTTTGCTGTTACTGAGAACCATGTCTTAAGAGTAAAAAGGAAGTGCTGGGATTTTTGGTTGGTGTTTTGTTTTGTGGGGGTTTTTTTGTTTGTTTTGTTTGTTTGTTTTAAATCACACATGCTTAAAACTGATTTTTGATGTAACATGACCTAACAAATTTTGCTCTATTTCTTACCTGAGGAGCATCATCTTGCATTTTGCCTGGTTTTACCTAGAGACTCTGGCATGGACACACCACCTTCAGCATGAATTCTACTTTTTAAACATGTTTAAAAATAGATCACTAACCCTAATCTTTAACATATAGCTCTTTTTTCTGAAGTATTAAATAAACACTAAAGTTCAAGGTGGGATTCATTTTAAGATTAAGACACCTACCATTCAGGTGTCAAAATTCGTATTATGGTCTGTGGAGGCCTGGTCAACAAAGCCCGCTACAGAGGGGTTTATCTCTCCATGTGTATTCAAGTAGTATAACTTACAGTATGGAACTTCAAAAAAACCACAAATGCATTCATGCCTTAACATTATCCTCTCTTTGTATATAATTTTCAAATTAATCTCTAAAAGTGAATTATGGTTTTCAATCTCCATTTGGCAAGCAAACTCAAACGTTTTATATAAAAGGCAAATGCATAACCACAGAAATTAGATGCAGCCTTCATTAATGCCCTATTCATAGCAACACACTTTCACCTCCATCTTGTGATAAGCTTTTAAGTTCCAGGATATTTTACTAACATAATTTGGGAATATTTAAGTGACTGGATGAAAGACGGGGAATTTTAAAGACTGATATTTGCAGCATTATTTGCATGATCTTGCAAATATCCCATGACAGATTTGAGAAACATTAATATTAAAAAGCAAACAAAAAACCCAAACCAACTAACCAACCAAAAATCTCCCAACCAAACAAAAAAAAACCAAAACAAAAACTCCACCTTCCCCACCTGAGTTTTATGGAAGGAAAAAAATAGTATTTGATCAGTAAGAGTACATTATACACAGAACATAAGGCATATGGCAAAAGCTTACAACTTAAAACACTGTTTCATGTTCTGCAGTTACCAATGAACACTGCAAATATGTATCTTAGACATACTTACTTTATGCAGGTTTTTTTGAAATTGTATCTCAAAAAAAATAAACCATGAACTATTGCAAACTTGCCTGACACACGATCAAGAACCTCTGCTAGAGTTGTTGAGACAGGCAGATGAAGAGTACGAAATTTGTGCCCAGCTCCATACATTGGATGTTGAATTACATGACTAGTAGCATTAATTCTACCTTTGTACAGCTGAAAAGAAAAAAAAAAGGTCAACATTTAACATGACTAACATTCAGGAAAAAGTTAACACACTAAGTTCTTATAAACTCACCTCATCCAAATAATTACATCTTTTGTGTGCTAAAAAGAAAACTGACATATCCTTCAACTTTGGAGGTAAAGAGTAAAAATGCATCAAATTAGGAAAAAAATTATTTTTTAACTCAAAAGAATTTGCTATAAAAGCCTAAAATATTTTTTGGATCAGAAAGAATATAATATCATACTTGTTTTAAAAAAAACAAAAAACCCCCAATCATTTTATATAGCTCTATAGCAGAGAAAAATTGACTGAGACTTGCAATTATTTATGAAATTAAAACTTAATTCTGAAATTAAATTAGGAAAGCCACAGGAGTAGAGAATTAGGAGTAGAGAAAGATGTTATTTCTCTATTGCTCTGACTTGAGGATAAAGTTTATTCAATATCTACCTTTTGCTGTTATGACAGATAAGTATGTCACCACTACTTAAAACTTTTCAAATATTTTAAGATAACATATATTAGCCTGAGCTCTGTTATCACTCTTTGGTTGCAGTAACTTTTTACAGACTTTTCTGCAACAAGGGCACCACTAGTCCTCTTCCTCTTATGATCAGGAGAACCGTTGACTAATATCCACATACAGAACCAATTTATTGTTGTGCAGTATTATCAAACAAATTTAATACTTGATGACAGTCAGAATTTAGTTTATAAAAATACAGGTTTGGTAAGAACTTGAGATAAAACTGGGGATCTAATCTTTGTAAGGTTATGTTGTTGGATATAGTAGAAGTATACGCTGCACATCCACACTATTTTTAAGGTTTCTCTCTGGATGTTAGAATAATCTTCTCAGTAATAACAGCCAGATTGTTTCCTGGTAGTTTTAATTAAAAAAACCCCTGAATTATTTGACTTCTTTCCACGATATTTTTTCTGCTTTTACATCTCTAGTACCATTCTGTAAAAATCTGTTCTGTGTAAAATAAATTATTAGAAAATTGATGTTACCTTCACATTACCAATGGCCATGTTAACAATTCCTCTCAGCCAGGTTAAAATGTTTAAATGTTTGTGCTGAAACTGTATTTATTCCTCCTTTTACATTTTATACTAATCTGAGCCAGTTTCCCTGTCATATATGTTGTGCAGTACTCTCCTCCTGAGAGGTAGTAAGAACAGAAGAAACCAGAAAATAGTTTTTCCTTGTATGGAAGCATCATCTTTTAGTAACTTCTGTTTTTCCTATATTTCTTTATTCATAGCCTTCAACTGAGACCATAGCATTTCAGTCATTAATTACAATTCTGTGTTATGGTGAAGCATGTGGAAGTATAAAAGTATACATCTACTTCATCAATTAGTTCAAGTATTTGTCACTCAAGAATTTATTCCTGGTGTTCTGGATAATGCTGAAGGATCTCTGCCAATTTAGAAGCATCAAAACTACAACTAATCTGCAATGAAACTGGTAACGAAGAACTGCTAGAAGGACTAGAACTTGCATCTGTATTTCCTGCTAACGTGTAAGGATGCTATTAAAAAGTCTTACATAAGATAAATTTCAGTTGTCAATTCTTTCAGGAGCAGTATATTTTCAACAAGATGGCTTTGCCTTACAACAGTGCCTTAAATTTTCCTTTACAACGCTGAGTTACAATCCACCAACACATTCCTTTACAAAATTCTGCAATGTGCACAGTAGGAAAAGCTGCCATTTCACCTTTCAAAGTTGAATATACCCAGATTTTTATTTTTTAAGGCTAAATTTATTCCATGTTCACCATACAGTTATCAAAAATTCTTACTGGACATGGGGATTGAAGAAACAAAGTCACTTTCTCATCCTCTAGCATCAGCTGCAAAAAAAGCCTCCTAATAAATCCTGAAATATTTCCCGAGGTTGGGAGGTTCCCACGCTGAGGAGAGGACTGGAACAATTCACAGAGAACCTGGGAATGCAAAATGACATCAGATTTAAAATATTTCTATATTTAGGTCTCTAAAATATAGCTCTACACAGCCATAACAGGCAATGCCTAAGATCTACCTTCCAGTTATCTTTCAAACCAGATCAGAAATGAGTACCACTGAAGAAAATGCCAGCAGCAAGTAAGTTTTTTTATAAAAGAGTTCAAAACATTGACTACAGCATCAAAGTAACACTGAACACATAGACTACTCAAAAAGATAAAAAACTGAAGATGAAGTATTTAAAAAAAATAGCTTTCAAATTCCTAAAGCAAAAATTTCCCACCGCATAATGCGGTATTACTACTGGCCATTAACAGACAACTGTACTGATTTATTACTGGTCCACCTGTTCTCACAGCATTCTCATTCTTAACGTTGAAAAATCTTTTTTTAATTATATTTTTATTTATCTAGGTCTGCAAAGTTAACAAATATGAGGAAAATAGCTGAATTTGCATCAGAATGCCAAATGCAAAGCCGTGGTCTGCAATAGCCCATATATCCCTGGTCACAGATTGCACAGGGTATATGGTTGTGCAAGCAAATTTACCAGGAAATACCCTTAAATTACTAATACAGAAGAGGTGTATGAAGCTTAATTTCCAAATTCATTTTCAGACGAGTTTAGATCTATCCAATTAAATATAATAGTGTGTGTGTGTATATATATAT